TATAGCCTGGGGGGGGTGACCAAACCCCACGTCACTCCAGCCCCCTGCAGCCTGGGACTGTCCCAGCCTGCCTCTGCTGCCACATGGCTCCGCCTCTACAGCTTGAAAAGCCGTGGCAACCTTTCAAGATTAAGCAGTTGAAGTGAAATAACCAACACTTCCAATGAGAACACAAATTTGGTCACGTCACTGCTTCCTCTACTTGTAATTTTGCTTAGATGACCTGTTTTGGTTACCATGATAATTATTTCGGTCCTATCCTGTAATAGCACTGTAACATTTACAGTTCAGTTTCTCTACTACACGGAGAGCACTTAACCCAGGTTTTTAAACAAGGAAACTTGTGGCTGTGCAATAAATGGACTGGAAGTCTTGAGGAATAGTTTGCCATATCAGTCTTGTAGTTTATTGTCTCTTTATATAGTCCAAACATCACACATTCCAGCTACAAACAGAGCTACAGAAAACAAAAGTGTATTTTTGAACATTACAAATATTTTAGTATCAGAATAAGCTAGTAGGATGAATACAAATCAGTAAGTAATCATTTATTGCCATACATATTAGTAACACCACCTGATTAAATTCTATTAACGGTACATCACTGCTATTTTTATTTTTCACCTACTTCCATTTTGTACTGATAATAAGGAATCTCTATACAGCAGCGATTCTGATCTGTTCCTGTTCGCCTCCCCCCAAACTGATCAGACTGTAAATCTCAGAACAACCCCCTCTCCTTCCAAGAACCTTGTGCAACCTCAAGAAGCAACTATGGTCCCTGCAGTGATCTACTGCACTGGGAAAGCGTTAAGGCATCTGCTTCCTCACCCCAACTCCATGTCAGAGATCTGTCTCAGGGGAGTGGGAGAAGGGCTGGCAATTATTTAATTAAGGGTAAATTCAGGTAAACAAGATCAGGCACATGTACATTAGGGCAACAGCAAATTAGCCTGTATCATCTGGGATAGAACACCTACAAATCACATTTTGGGCTACACAGGCAACGCTGTGAGCAGGCCAGCGGGGACTGTCGGGAAGCGTATCCTAGTGTGAGCTTAATCCCAGAGTAGCACCATAACTGTAACCCTCGCTGTAATGATGAAGGACCGTGCTGCTGCTGTGGACAGGATAAGGCTGCTCTGGCTAAACACCCTACCAGGGCACGGGCTGTTCCACAGTCTTATTACCGCTTGCACGGGTCCACAGAATACATAAGCTCACCAGGTCTGAACAGTTTTGTTACTAAGGAACTGGCCGTGAGGACCATCAGCATCAGAAGGCAAGAGGGCCAAATAAACTGGGGTCTCAGCCCCTTCATCTGGTGATTTAGTGGCTCTAGGACCCGCCATGTCTGTTCTCACCCATCCAGGACAGCAAGCATTGAGAAGGATGCGGTCACCTTTTCTTTTCTCATTTAACATCCGGGCTTGAATCCTGGACAAGACTGTGACACCAATTTTGGATACCCCATAGGCAGTATTTGGCCAACCCTCTTTCTCATGCACACTTTTCTTGGTATCTTCCACAAATTTGGTCATGAGTTCCACTAACTCATCCTCCGTGATCGTGTCGCTGCGAAACTTTTGCTGTAGTTCTTGGCTGCAGCCTCTCAGAGCTGAGCTACTTACCATACTAGAGACATTCACCACTCTACCTGGTAAAAGAGAATAGAGACTGATTACTTTTACAGACATTAAACAAGCCCAGACACTGAAGTGCGCTTGCTCCACAGTTATGTATTCGCTACTTCGGCGAATACCTATAAAATATTTTGTGAGGGATACTTTGCAGAGCTTCTGGAAGACCACAGTTAACTTGGATGTCAAGCGTTTCTAGTGAGTTCTGTTACAGAGGACAATTTAGGGTGTGAACCTGCAAAAGCTCTCTGTCGAACTTCAGGTATGCTTCCAGGAAACAGCCTGTTACAATCTGTAGGCATATTCATAGCAGTAAGTGGCTTTCTCAGTCACGGCAGCCAGACTTTACTCTCAAAGTTCTGGTTGAAAGTGTTCTCACTTGTGCAACAGCTTGAGTAAAGTGCCGTGAGAATGTACCTCAAAAGCCAGAATAACACAGAATTCAACAAAAGCAACCTAGTCCTTAATGCAGTGAGACTATTGGCTCGTTTACAGAATACCTGAAGATTTACAAATCCCAGCATGCAAAACTGCAGTAAGCTATTTATCTCCCAGCACTTCAGCTGAATCCGTAATTCCCTCATCCTCCCCAAAATGACATTACTTTGGCTGTGAACTAGCAAGGAGGGGGGAAACATTTAGGGGATAAACATGAGGATTTAGATGTTAAAACCCACAGAAACTAATCCTTTCTGTTAATGACTTTAACACATTTGTCCTTCACCCTTAGTACAAGAGGACTAGATTGCAATTTTGGCACTCTTTACTCTCTCCCCTACCAGCCCCCCAAATTCATTTACTCTATCCTTTCCTTCCTCCCTAGGGACTAACAGTTCCCAACTTCTCTCTCATCTACTCGACTTCTTTTCTCTTAAAAGCCTAGGTGTATTTAAATGTTGGTATAGACAACATTTCACGCATAGCATGAAGCACTTATCCAAATATCCACAAAAATACCCAGTGATCAGAAGTCTTGAAAAAAATTGTATTTAAAAAAACCCCTTAGATTTGGTGTGGCTATTGGATCCAAATACCCTCCTTTCAAATCATCATCAGCAGCATTCCAGGGTACTTCCAGTGCTCCCAGGTTTCAAGAACAGGAGCATTCTGTACAGGACAGTCACCCAACAAGTACAGACTATTTGCATGTTGCTAACACCTCTTTATTATCGATGCATCTATCTTCTTTGACCCTGGTCCATTCTATTCACCATTTTTGGTCAAGTCCTTTCTTCCACTTCCTCCTAACACCACCAAATCACAATCACTTCATGTACATCTTCAAGTGCCATTGATAACCACATCACCAGACACCTGCAAATACAAAGGCTGTGATCTACCTAGAGACAGACCAACAGCCTACTGAGGTTTCTTCAGCTGTAGCAAGAACAGGCATGTCACATCAAACCCAGCTGAAACACTAATTTTAGGTACTTCCTTATCCTAGTTGTATCATCCAAATGTCCTTTCTGAACCAAGAATAGTTTATGTAGGCAGATATCATGGACGGAACACGGGTAAGTTCTCTAAGTCTTCTTGAGGGCACCATGAGAATACCACTCCAATCCATAACAGAAGAACACAACCACCTTGAAAGTAGACTTAAATACACACAGCAGAGACATTTTGGGGATCAAGACAGTCCATTTGTTCTCTTACACACAGTACAGCAAAGTGTACTCCTCTTGCTATGGGGCAGCATGTGTCCGAGACTGGACAGGATTCTCCCATTTCATGAGGGCCAAAATTCATATAAAATTATTTCTCTACTTGTTATGTTCCACTTACCATAAGGCTTCACAAGAGGCAACAATTCTGTGCAAACATTCCTGGTTCCGAAAAAGTTTGTCTTCAGCGTAACCTCTGCTTGGACTGCAAATGGAGTTGTGTCATGAACTTTTCGTAAGAGGCGGTAGCAAGGGAGGGAAAAATAAATAATAAAAACAAATATATATCAGAATTGTACTACTGTTTGAAATAAAGTCACCAAACTACTAAAACTCAAAAGTTCTGGTTTGGGTTTTTTTTTTATATAATTAGGAGACAGGCATTATGATCAATTAAAATATGTAAGAAAAAAAAGCAACATCATTAACACTTACATTCTTACTAATGAAGAGACCTAGCTCTGTCATATTATATTAATAATGAGCTAATTACGTTTTCACCTCTTCTTAGCTGAAGGCTTTAGCTTTGCCCCAGGAGAGCCCATCGTGTCACTCTACAGAGTCATTTGCCAACCCATAGGCAATTTGTCTTTCTGTTTTTTATATGAAAGAGAGAAGGAAAGACTGCTCTCCCAGAAAGTGCTGCCCAACCTGCCCCCTGACCTGCCTGTACCTGCTCACACCCAGCGCTCAGAGGCCATGCTGCAACCACCACACGTGAGTAAAATCTGAGGTGCCCTCTCAAATGCATAGCACAGCACAGCACTTTGCCACCATCGTGACACAGCAGGGGAGGGGGCAGAGGGGAAATCAGTAGGGAACATCCTGAACTTGGGATGCTGCCACTGATGATGCAAAAGTTAGATTATGACACCCGTAACAACAGGGCAGACAACTGCTTCTATATCCAGACTCTTATGTTGCCATGTCTTGGGTTCTTAGCTGGGACCTGAAGTCAGAGCAGTGTCAAACCGCAACAAACACTGTAAAAGCTTCTATAAAGAATGCAGAGGTAAGATTTGGTGCAGTCTGAAAAAAAATAAAAAAATAAACCATAAACAAAAAACCCACAACCAACCCCAAAACGGGTAGATACTTGCGTCATAAATCACGCCCTGAACTGATGGATCTGTGCTAACACAAGCAGACGAGTGGAAATTAGGAGCTAGGAAAGGGAGACGAGTTAGGTAAGCATAAGCAGACCATAGAACTGCACTGTAAGGGTATGATTTCATCAGATAGGATTGACAGCTTGCCACCACCAAACATGGGGTACGATGTGCCATCAGCTGACAACTTGGCTCAGCAATAAACCATATGCTGCACGTCCTCCACTTTGAGGAGGAAGTAAGAGTTAAAGTAACAGCATTCCTCCTCTTCTGCTACAGGCTCTATCTCTGCAGGGATTAAGGCCACCTACACAGATTAGGTAGATCTTTGCTTGTCTCCATAGCCCAGACCTATGTAAACTCCAAAGAGAAGCTGTAAGAGGTCATTTAGTATTTAATGTAGTTGTGTTTTGATTACAAAACACAGCTTTAATGGCTGACACTTATAATCTCAAGCAACAGCCACCGATGGCATCAAGTTTTGCAAATCATTTGCTTGCATTTAAATCTGAGACACAAAGCCAGACCATGACCTATTGCAAGAGTTATGACAGTGGGAGAAGAGAAGAAACTAAAAACCTACACAACTCCAAACTCCTGCTTCCATCCCCGCTTTGCAAGAGGGAAGCTTCCCTACACTCTAAACCCAACTCATTTGTCTAACAAGATATATTACTCATAACATCTGAAAGATACACAGTCCCTTGATTTAACAAGCATTACTAGAATGACTGTTCTCACAGAAGCTCATCCAGAAGGCAACCCAGGGGTACATAATCATTTCATACATGAACAATTTTTGCTGGACTAAGGACATTGCTGTAGTGCAGCACGAAAACAATAAATTAAATTGAACGGTAAATCTAATCTTTGACAGACAGCAATGACACACAGTACTACAATAAAGAAAGGAAAGCATAAATTCTGGGATGACAGCAGAAACCAGGCAAGGGAACAAGCAAGCTTGGGTAGAAATGCCAACCTCAGAAGCACAAATTAAAGCCGAAATATGAGATAAGCATCACAGCGAGTTCTTACACAGGTGTTAAACCCTCTAGCCTCCGCACTAGATACTTACACAACAGTTACCACTGGCTCCACTATCACATTTCTTAATTGTATGACCTATTGCTGACTCACAGCAAGTGAACAGCAGTCTAAGTTAAACATCTGGAAGCAACTTCTGAATAAAAAAAAAATCTATGATGTAGTAAAGGAAGTTACAGGAACTCCACTGGTCATGCTATTTAACCTATTTATCTGTTCAGTGGCTCCACGATAATAAATCTAAGATCTCTCACAGATGAGCTCTAGCAAATCTTGCTGCAGCGATTTGAGGAGCTTTTATTTCACCTGCCCAGATACCTGCCTTGATGGGGGCTACAGCTGCTGCAAAGTCAGCAAGAGGAAACACACACTGCACTTCAGCTGCTGTAGCTGCAGCCTAGTCTTGCTTAAACTCACTGTCACTAGCAGGTTGAGCTAAGGCCCTGATAACCAATTGAAGAAATACTGGTATGAGCACCTGCAGGCTTTATAAATGGTAAGCACAGGCACAGATACAATCTTTCAACCGTTGCTGCAAGGTTTTAAGACCTCTCTGTCTTGAACACATCCTGAAGCTCAGAAAATTCTATTAAGAGTTGCTTCCTATTAAGTTGATCTTGAACACAAGCAAACTTCCTGAAAAGCCCCATGCAAAATATACAATGACTGGACTTCAGAACACCGTTGCTGCACTCCCGCTACATGAGAAGCTCCATCTTCAGCAGCAGGTGAGGTTTGATCCATACTGCCTGACAGGCCTCCTTTAGCTCATGTTGTGAGCAGATGAGTCAGCACAACACTGTGCTTGAACAGTTACATGTCCTAACTGGTTATCAGGCAAAGAGATTAAAAAATAAACCCAAAACTAACCCCAAACAAAAAACCCAAACAGAAAATATGGAAAGAACAAGTTTGTGCTGGCAGGGAAATGAACTAGTAGTCACACTTGTGATCTGCTCCATCTGGAGCTAACACGATTCTCAACTTGTTTTTATAAACCCCTACAAGGAGAGTGCACTCTTCTACCTTACAACTGCTGCGTCTTCCTCACTTTCACCATTTTCCTGTCCTCTAGAAGATGAAAGGGTTAAATTCTTGCTCAGCACAGCAAGATTACGTTAACTGTTCTACAGGTAACTGAATGGCCTGAGAAAGTTAATTACAGATTACATAACCACCCAGGGTCAAAGGTTCTTTTTTATCAGCTGGAATCCTTGAGCAAGTAACCCACAAAACAAAGTATGAGGCTGGCAGAAGAGATAAAACACAGATCCTCAAGGAACAGGCTGATATTCACACAGATGATCGAGTCCCATGGGCCTGGTGAAACTCACGGGCACTGAGGCAATAAACCCAACTCTGCTCACATGCACTGTGCGCCTAAAGTATTTTCATGCTCTATACGTGATGCAAATAGAACGCTCCAGGGAAGCATCTTTACATGCGCAGTTAGCCCAACAGATGCTAGAGCAAGAGCCACTTCACACTGCCCTCTCATCGTGCTTAAGAAGGTAGACAGCTTGCCGAGCCAAAAAAAGCAGCATGCCATCGGCATAGAAGTTCCATAAAAAAAGCTTTGTAGAGCCCTGATGCATCCACTATCCTTCCCCACATAGCTTTGTAGCACATAGGACTATCCCAGTCAGTCCACTTCCTACCTTTGAAAGCGATCCCTGCATTGTTAACCAGCACATCCAGCCCTCCATATTTCTCCTTTAGGAAGTCACGGAGTGCTCTGATGCTCTGCAGATCATCGATATCCAGCTGATGGAAGAGTGCATGCAGCCCTTCCTCCCGGAGCTTTGCCACTGCTTCCTGCCCACGGCCGGGGTCTCGGGCTGTCAGGTACACATCTCCTGGGAACTGCTTGCATAGAGCCCGCACAATTGCAAATCCGATCCCTTTGTTGGACCCGGTCACCACAGCCACCGGCACGCTGGACATTGCCCTCTCTGAACGTACGCCAAAGTCACGGTACCTGTAAAGTAGGTAAGAAGAAAATTTCACACTCGGATGGACAAAGATGGCTATCTGAAAATGTGTTAAAAAGTTATTTCTTTAAAATCTTATTTAGAATTCCACTTTGAATTACATAAAACTACATTAGAGCGTACACTAACTGTAACTTACTAAAGTAGCACGAGGTGTTCGAAGAGAAATAATCATTTGGTGTTAAATGTTCTGAAAAAAAACCAAAACAAACTCATTGCGATTAAAAAAAAAAAAAAAAAAAAAAAAGGAGGAGGTCAATGACTAATCCTTAGTTCTAAATTAACTTTTAATGAGAGTAAGCTCTTCTGCACATACCCCTCACAGGAATTCCATTTCCTTCTTTCGAGGATATTCAATTGGTTCAGTTCAAGCACTGATGCAGTGAAAGATGAAAAACTCAGGCTCAAATCAAGTGGAGGAGTGGCTTGAACTTCAAGTGTCAGGCAGGAGAACCAATTCTAGCGTTTTTAGAGGAAAACAGTGGACCATAGCCTGACTACAGACGATGTTTCTTCTGTTTAACACACCAGTCAGCTCTAGACACAAAGCCTGTTTGCTGGTTGTTTTTTTTGTTTGTTTGTTTTTTTTTTTTTTCCAGACATAGCATATTTAAAGATTTATTTCCCACATAAAAGCAAGTGTAAAACGCTGGTTTTGCTCACTTTTGACTTAACTGACACCTTTCCAAATTAGTTTGTAACTAACCACAAGCTGACACCAAGCGAGGATGAAATCCTGACCGGCTCCTAAAGGCTACCGACTGAGTTCGCCAGGGCCCGGAGCCACCCTCCCGATTCACCAGCGAGGTCCCTCCTCGGTGCAAATAGGCACATTCCACTTCCTACCACCTCCTCAGAACCAGTTTTATTCTTCCTAACGGGAACGTAAAGCAAAGCCACGACGAAGCCCGATTCCTCCGGGGACCCCCCCGCTTCCCGCCG